CTCCCCACTCCACTTTCACAATTCTTCTCTCCCTTGTGCTCCTGTGTCTCCAGCATGGCAGCCCTCTCAGCCCTCTCTGGCCTTATAATCCTTGGGATGAACACCACATGGCTTTCCACTGGATGATATCCACTTCTCCATTCTTACACTTGGGCATGGACTAACTGTCCTTCAGGGCAGTGAGCAGGCTACCTCATTTTCTTGGGTGTTATTGTGCCCCTGGTATGGAGCGCCTCACCCAGTAGGGGTCAGTGTACATCTGTGGAAAGGAAATGATTCATTCAAGCATTCAACATACATCTGTATCTGATAGAGGTCTTAGTAGGCATCAGAGACACAATGGATAGACCCTTGCAGTGCTTGGGAAAATGTTTCAGACTCTTCCTCTAGAAATATCAACTCCAAAATATATTATTGCCAACAAGAGCAAAGCAATGACAGCAAAAGTGACAATGCAGACACTGGAGAATGATTAAGAGCTTTGGTGACAGACCTGGATTTGAATCCTGTCTCTGCTGTGTGGCCTCAGGCAAGTTAGACTTTCTCTTTCTCAATTTCTTTTTTTTTTTTTGGTACTGGGGATCGAACTCGAACTCGGGTCCTTGGACTTGTGAGGCAGGTGGTGGCACCACTGAGCTAAATCCCTGGCCATCAATTTCTTTTGTCTATTAAACAGGCATAATAGTACTTATCTCATTGTGAAGATAAAGGGGACAGGTACACCTAAGTTCTTAGGACAGTGCCTGGCTGTACTAATGATAATGGTAACAGTCGCATTGATATCAACAAGGCCAGGAGTCCAGGTTAGACATGGCTTTAGAAACCAGCTCACAAAACTGTGCAAGAAAAAAGGAAAAAAATATAAACAAGAAATGCCCCAAGCCCAGTCAGTCATGTTTAGAATTCGCTATCTACCCACTAAATGCTGCCAGGACCCCAAAACCACACACAGTGTCTAGCAGGTCTGGTCCAGCCTTCAGGGGATATGGAGACTAATGCAAACATAAAATAATGAGGCCTTTCCTTTGTGGTGTAGAGTGGGGTGGTGGAGGGACATGGCTCTGGAAAGGGCCCTGGCAAGGGACACAGAAGGCCAGGTGTCCAGCTCTGGCTCTCCTGTGTCACAGCTGTGAGCCACTAACCATTTAACCTCATTTCCACAGCACTTGTTCAGCTTTCCTCCCTGGGGAGGTGGGTTTTGAAAGGAACAGTAAAAAGGCATTTTGAAGACTGATGTGCTGGCCAAAAGGAAGGTGTTACTATTCCTAGCTTTGAGGAGGGGCACTGTCCTATTGCAGGCCTAGCCCGTTTCCCCTTCCTGACCTCTACAGAGCCTCCCGTCATCTTTAAGACTTGTTCACAGCTCTCCTTGCCATGAACCCTCTTGAGATTTGGGGATAGCCCCTGTCGCCATCTGGTCATGCATTCACCCATGGCTACATGGTCTGATGATGACTTAAGGGTCTTTCTCTGTTTCAAGACAGGGTCAGTATCTAGTTCTCTCCATCCTTACTGCTAGGAAGGGCTTGGCTCTGAGTAAGCAGTTGGTCAATATGATTTGAATAGTTAAACAAGGCTTTCCCAATGCTACGGTTTGAGTGCATCTTCCAAGGATTCATGTGTTGGAACCTCAGTCCTCAGTGTGGTGATATCAAGAGGTGATGGGACCTTTAAGAGGTGGGGCCTAGTGGGAAATTAGGTCATCGAGGTGGCTGCCTTTGGAAGGCATTGATGTAATTCTTGTGGGACCCTGGCAAGTTCTCAAGAAAGTATTATAAAAGAGCAAGGCTGATCCCAGTCTCTGGCTTCCTGCCTCACCATGTGATCTCCCTCACACATGCTTCTGCCGCTATGATACCCTTACCATGAGGCCTTCCCCAGAGCTGTGCTGATAACATTGTCATGTCCTTGGCGAAGAACTGGAAGCTAAATAAACTATTTTCTTTATAAAGTACTCAGCCTCAGGTATTTTTATAGAAACAGAAAATGGACCAATACACCCAACTATCACAAGTCACAATGATCACATTCCTCTGATTGTAGCAATTGGTGGTAGTTCATCTCTTCTTATATGCAACATTTTCTCATTGTGCTTAGATGACACTTAACTCAGGATGTATTTTCTCTCATCCTCCTACTGGCCCAGCACCCAGGGACTGTGTTCTGTACTTCTCTGTACCCCTACAAGATCAGCCAAGCTCCAGGCCTGCTCCTGGTAAGTGCTCAGTAAGTAGCTGCTGCTTAATTTGAAGCCAGACATTCTTGAGCCTCAGCCACTTGGTTAAGGTGTTTGATAATTGCTACATCTCGCTGTTAAAAGCACATGGTTTGGGGCCAGACTGTGGGATGTTGGACAAGTTTCCTAACTACTCTGCTTCCTTACCTGTATCAACCCCACAGGATTAGGATGAGCATTAAATAATGAATCCATGGAGCCCTTAAATGGTGCCACATTTCAGTAAATCTGTCATGTGCACCATTGCTGTGATTACCTCAGACTGGCCCTGTAATTCTGAGAAGTTGGTTCTGTAGAGAAAGGAAAGTTGTACCACACAGAGACAGACACAGACCCAGACCTGAGCTCTGTCCATTCCTCTGGAGCTGGTGGAGGTGGGTTGAGTAGGTTACAGTAATTTAGTAAGATTTCCAAAATCCTGGCACAGTTAGCATAAATACATGGGATGTGACAAGCTGTTCATGGAGGCTCTGAGGAAGCTGAATATTAGAGCAGAATTCTGGGAAGCTGAGATGCTGAAGGGCATGGGGAGCGGAAGGGGCAGAGGTAATGCATAGTCTAACCAAAGCCGAGTCACAAACTCGTCCTTTCACTGTGGCTCCTTTGTGAGCAAGAAACATTCACATCTCTGAAGGAAACTGAGCCAAGTGGCTTCAGTGTTCTCCTGGTATAAGTGCTCAGATATCACTGTCACTCACTCGTGGCTGCAGCTATAGGTCTTGCCAGTCCTTTTGCAGGAAAATGTCTCCTCGTCAGACTCTGCCTGTAAAAATTCAACCTCCACGGTATAACTCAAAGGATGCCTTTGCAAAAATGCTGAATTGCCTGCTTATTTTGAACCAGACCTTCTGAGGATTCCAAGAGGAATAAGGAGTACAGAGTCCAGTGGGAGCGGTCTGACAACTAAACAAATATTGAAATGCAGTGAGATGGGGTTGTAATATGGGCATTTACAAAGTATAACAGCCATAAAGCACTCACATGCAAGGAAGGTGACATTATAATTCAACAAATGAATAAAGTAATTTCAATTCAGGCATATGTTAGGAAGAAAATAATATCAGTTAATAGGATAGAAAGTGGCTAGAAGGTAGGTGGTCAGGGAAGGCCTCTCTGAAGTACATCAAGCCAGGAATGGATTGAGAAGACCTTGGCTGAGAAGTGGGAGAGATGGTGGTGCTGTGCACAGTGGCTCCGAGGAACAGAAAGAATGTCAGGGCCTTGAATGTGGTGAGTGGAGAGTGGTGAAAGGTTAGCCAGGCTGAGAGGAACATAATAAGATGTCATACTCTGCTTTTCTTCATTCAACATTGTAAGAACATTCTCTCTGGGAAACATGATTTGTAAACATTTGAATGACTTTATTAAAAATAATCATATAAAAAGAAAAGGTTGTTTTCTACTTTAAAAAATTATCATAGGATGTACCACTTGTATAGGGTACGCCTCTGTGTTGGACACACTCCCTGCTCAGGCGCAGCAGGAAGCAGTGGGGAAAAAGGGCTTAAAGCCAGAGGGGCTGAGCTGGCCCCTCCTGCAGGCATCCTCTCTGACACTTCTGGGTCCCTGTGGCCAAGGGTCAAAGTGGCAAAAGCCCCCTTAGCCAAACCCCAGACACGGTCAATGTTTTATCTCCGATAGAGAATCTGAGCTCCAGCAACCTCTCTGAGGCCGCCACCGCCCCTCCTTTGTATTGTCCTTTGACTCTCATGACTGCAGCAGAAAAAAGGGTGAACTCTCAGGGCCCCTAGAGCACTTCCCTTGCCTCCCATTTGTTAGGAATGGGTGATGCTGACAAGACCTTCCCACAAGCTGCTCTCCTTTCTCCTCTCCTACACTGGTTTTTGGCTCCCAGCTTCTCCGGAAAGCCACAGGACTGCACAGCTGCTCTCTGCCAACCTTCAGTCTTCAGGGTTGGAGCTGCAGGGTCTGCGGAATTCCTGTCCATACTCGTGTATCCACTTATTGGCCACTGGGAGAGAGCGAGAGGAGGACTGCAGGCTCAGCAGGCAGACAGCTGCAGAGCTGTGCACAGATTTGCTCACTGGGGCATGCAAGTGCCTCCTAAAATCCTGCACCCTGGCAGCCCACCTGCCCACCCTAGTCCCACCACACTGTGACTACAAACTGTTTCTTCTGGAAAAAGTCTAACAGATTCTGTCCACTGTAAATTAATTTTCAAATGTTTGGCACTATGGTCACTCAGCCTCCATTCTAAAAGCCCATCTCTTATGAAGCCACTCCTGACAGTGTCCATACCTCAGAATGTGAGCCCTCTTCAAATTCTGTTTCTGTCTTCAGAGCTAAATGCTCTTGGCCACATACACACATCACAAACATATCCCCCTCTTCCCTACTTGTTTATGCTTCCTTGTTTGGCTACCTCCTTGGGAGTTTGTCTCTGGAGTTTGTCTCCTTGGGGGAGGCACTAAAAGGAAGCAGTGCAAGTTTCACAGTTCTCTCCTTGGAGCACAGAGCAGGAAGAAACCCTGCACCATATTCCTCCTCAGCTGTGCTCAGGGATCAGGCCTGTCTCCTTGGGTCAATAAACCTTTGCTAATATCTGCTCTGGGACAGGACCCCTGCTCTTTACAGGCTCCTGATCTGCTTCTGGCACCTGATTAGTAACCTGAGCAACTCAACACAGTGTGGCACTATAATGAAACCTTTGGGACGGGAGGGCTGTGCTGTTTCCCACCCACTCCCTAGTTCACTTTACTTTGCACCCTTACCCCATTCTCTTGTCCCAAAAGACAGGCCTTACCCCACTTATCTCCCACCAGGACAGGACAGCCAGCATGAAGTGTGTCACCATCTCCCTCACCACTCCTGTGCAGGTTCCACCAAAACAGTGCTGCATTCTGAAAACAAGAGGACCCAGCCCCAGGGAAGGTCAGCCCACAATGTTATTCCTTGGAAATCACATGAATAAGGACAAATGCATGCATGCCATTAAGCAAGAAAACTCCATGCAGTTTGGGGCAAGGCATGCATAAAAACAGAACAGGATGGTGTAAGTTGCCATCCACTCATTCATGCATAGATCACTGACTGAGGGCCTGCTCTGCCAGGCCCAGGGGAACCAGAGACAAACTGCATCCAGTTCTGCTCTCCAGCAGCTCAGGAGAGACAGAGACAAAAGAGACCAGGATAGGACAATGTGGAGTGCACTCAGAATAAGGTAATCACAGGTATTATGGGACCACTGAGAAGAGATGCCCAACAATCCCCATAAGGTGGACCAAGACATTCCTCATACAATCAAGCACTTCACTAGTTCTGAAGCTCACACTGTTTTAGGGACTACTAACATCCATGAGGAAGGCATCATTATAAACTCCCCTTCCTAGCCAAGAAATGGATGCTTAGTGCTTAGATTAGAAATCATGTAACTAAAAAGGAAAGTTAGGATTCAAGCCCAGATGTTCTATTCCAAATCCTGTTTTCTTTTCCCTCTATACACTGCTTTTTTGGAGGGTCCAATACATATTCTATAAAATTTAACTTTGGCCATTATAATAGATCAAACTCTAACTAATGAAGGATGTATCAGAGCCTCTGCATTTCCAAGCCTAGAAGAGACACCAAAGCCCTGGACATGCATAGATAGCCGACATTCATTTACTGAATGTTCAAGATGTGCCAGGCACTGTACTAAGTGCTTCATGGGCATGACCTTACTTATTATCTTCATTTCGTTCCTGAATTAAGGCCTATCAGGGAGCTTGGGTCTGAAACTTGGTGGACATATTCATGAAATGAACAAATCTCTCACCAAACAGCTCACTCTGGGCCTGGCGCAGTATGTTGTTACTGCCTGTTCACTTCCCTTTATGAGTTCCTGAAGGGAAGGGCTCTGAGCTTTCTTCTGTACCCTCAGCACCTCTAACTCTCAGTGTGGACAGAAATAATGACTGCAGGAACAGCTGCTGTACGGCATCCAGAAGTGAATCTGAGTACCTTTGAAGAGCTCTATTATGACAAGACAGATGTGCAATTGTTTACCCCTAACATAAATGTAAATAAAATAACAAACAGGGCCAAAGTGGTGGTAACAGATGGTGGGATTATCTTTGATTCTGAGAGTTAGGGAAGAACTCTTTTTATCCCTCCTCACAAACATCAGCTTGCAAGCACAGGCAGTATGAAGCTTGGGGTGTTAGTTCTATGCCCTCCTGGCTTCCATCTTCTAGGCCAGGCTCCACTCACCTTAACCACAGGCACACTGAAGTTGGCATAGATGAAGGCCGTGGCTCCTCCAGCTTCCACTGAGCTCAGCTACAATGCAGAGGAAGAAGCTAGAGTTAAAACAACTGCCGAAGTCCCTACTCTGCCCTGTGCACATTAACCTGACATCTGAAGTCATTTCTACATAGATTCCCTCCTGTGGCACCCTACTTCAAATCTATGGGAAATCCTTGAAAGACAGTCATTCAGCTTAACAATTCAGGGAACATCTGTAATGTCACTGGTGTTTGCCTGCAGGGCCACAGACGGAAAGATTTGGAATTCCTCCCTTCTTTTTCCTTCCAGCCAATGTTCTTACAGAGGGCTACAATAAGATTTAAGCTTTTTTTTTTACTGAGACAGGAAAAGATGCATTTTACATCATGATGCAAGACACACACACACACATTTGTTGAAGTAAAAATTTCGGGATTTAGCTCAGTGGTTCCACCGCTTGTCTGGCAAGCACAAGGAACCGAGTTCAATCCCCAGTACCAAAAAAAACCAAAAAAATTCATAAGATTCCCACTACATGAGATACTCTGATATTTTCTATTTTATTATATTTTGGTATAGTTTTCTTAAATGCTGATCAGAGTTACTAAACTAATCTTACAACCAAGATTTACAGGTGGGTTCCGTAAATCACTCAGCCCTTCCTTAGGTAACCTAAGCTTAAGACTTTCACCACTGGTATATTCTAGGGTTATGGATGTCTTCTTACTATGAAGATATTTTTCTAACCGTCAAAGAATTACATAATAATCATGAACATAATTTAAAATACACAAAAAGTACAGTGGACCCTGGAGTTACGATCGGCTTGACATACATATGACTTGGGTTATGACTGGAATTTTAGTTTTACAAACAAAGCCTTGAGTTATGACTCGAATGCCAGCTGCTTGTGCTTCCAGATGGTCTCAGATACAGATTTAATCCTTAAAGAGTTCTGGAAGGAACATTACAACATCCTTTCCTGTAGTGGGTTGAGAAATCCTGGGCCAATGTCTCTAATGACACTGAGATCTGCCTGTATACAGGAGAGAGACTTTGAAGGCTGTGTAGAGGAGCCTGAGCCTTCATTGACCAACTTGAGTTATAACCAGTTCTTGGGAATGAATTAGGCTCGTAACTCCACTGTATTAAAACAATAGTAGTGTGTATCATCTTACCATTTAGAAAAAAAAACAGTAATAGTTTACAAAGTACTAGTTAGCATCTATTGAACATTAACTATATTAGGGGCCGGGGATTTAGCTCAGTGGTTCTGGCGCCTGCCTCGAAAGTGCAAGGTCCCGAGTTCGATCCCCAGGACCAAAAAAAAAACAAAACATTAACTATATTCTAGGCATTAATATTAATACATTATAAATTTATTATCTATCTTACTCTTCACAAGAATTCTATGAATTGCAAGTATTATTATATTCACATTTTACAAATGAGGAAATCAAGCCTCAAAGAGATTATTTTACAAAAGATCATATAACTTCCATGATAGAGCCAGGATTTGAGCTGAGCCAATGCTATCTGGCTACTAAATCCCTGCTCATAAATGTTAAGCTACACTTTTGAACATTTAGGTTATTTCCAACTATTTATTGTTACAAAGAAAACTGCATTGAACATCTTAATGAATGAAATTATTTTGGCATTTCATTTGCTTCCACAGAAAAGAGTCCTGAGGATTAGTACTGTTGGGTCAAAAGTATATGCATAAATTGAATACTTTTGACATATACTGCTAAATTTTTTCTCACCAGTGACACAAGAGAACTAGTCTTACCTCACTCTGACTAGCATTACCAGTAGGTTCATGCTCTGTAATCTTTTTTAAAATTATTTTTTAAAATAACTTTATTATCAAACACACACACATACAAAAATTAAAACCGTTCAAAGAAGAACAATGCAAGGAGAAAAAAACTAAAATAATATTCAAATACAGTAGAACTCAACCAAAACAAAACTCAAAAGCACTTAAACATTTTTCCATATAATTAAAAAAATCTCAAGTACCAACAAGATACCAGAGGATGTGATTTGTTTCAGAAAGATCCCCCAAACCAACAGTGAACAAATAGTGGTCTGGAAAAAAACTCCAGTTAGTTAGCAGACTCCACATAAGCCAAGCTTCTCCCTAATTTAAATTTTGATACAGTCATATGACATGCGATGGAAACACAATCCAAGAATTATGTTATTAGACCATTTCATCTGTGTGTATCCTTAATTACACTTTCAGTTTCTCAGATCAGAGAAACTATTCAGTATTTACACATGTGTGTCCTATTTTTTTCACTTAAGAGGATGGCCTCAATATGCATCCATTTAGCTATAAATGTCTTTAGTTTCTCGTTCTTTATGGCTGAATAGTACTCCATTTTATAAAAAAGCCACATCTTCTTTATCCAGTTTATGCTTTGTGATCTTATGGCAATCAAGACCACCATCTCCTGTTCCATATTCACATTTGTTACAGAGCGAGAACTATAGGAGTTAGGATGTTGTCACTTGTTAGAGGAAACAACTGACTCAGTGATTCAGAACCTGGAAATGGCAGTGATAGTTTTTAGCATTCCCTTGCTTCTGTAGCCCACCTGGAAGGCCAATTCATTCCTTGTGTTCAAATAACTAACAAATTAGATAATTCTGTTGTAACCACTGTTGTCAATCACCATGGTTATAAATAAAACACAAGGGCAACCTTGACTTTCTTGCAATCTTTACCTGTGGTTTTACAATATTATGGAAAGGAATGTTATACGAAGAAATTTAAAAAGAAAATCTGATTCTGCATGCAGCTAAGCTCACGAACAAGGCATCGTCTGTGAGATAGTGGTAGAGGACAGAACTCTTCCCTCTATATACCTTCCAATGTTTTCTACTGGGACTGATCTTAATCCACCTTGAGCAGAAAATCACTAAACTAATTTCAACTCAATCTTCTGCATTTAAGATTATTTTCTGTAAAATATTACTCTTGTTTCCTACAAACCTCAACACTTGCCTCTAGAATTCTAGCATTTGATGTTCTTTACCAAACCTGAAGATGAAAGAATTGGGCATAAGTGAGCAGTTCCTAGGTTCCCAACACTGATTCTCCTTGATGGGGTCTTTTACCTGCTTGGTAGGCTACAATGAAAGAAACATATTGTGTGAAACTTTCCAGAGTCACATCCCCCAACATTATCTCAGCAGATCCTCACGACAAACCTGTGAGGAAGTTCAGGGTAATAAAATGAGCTCAAATAATTATAATTTGTGCTGTGGCTCCATAGTGAGCAGCAGAATCTGATTAGGCTGACTGACTCCAAAGCCAAAGTGCATTACATTTCACTGTCTCAAATGCTTAAAACCAACCACACATGTGTTCTCTCTTTCTCTGTATGTCTCTCTGTCTCTGTCTTTGTCTCTCTCTCTCTCTCTCACACAAACGCACGCATGCACATACACATACTGATTTGCCATTTAAAATTGCTGGACTCTTATATTCACGTTATCTACACTATAGTAATTGGGCCTTTGTAACAGAGAACCAGCCATAGGAGATATTGGAGAGATGAAGAACAGAGATCTACTACTGTGCCCCTATGTGCTCATATTCTTTGGTCAACTGCTACATTCATCACTGCCTGTGACCGCCCATGCCATCTTGGGTAACCAAGAGAGAAATGCAGATCTGAGCTGTGCTCCTACCTGAGAGATGACTTCAGCTATCCCTCTGTGCCTAACCAGAATCATCACAAGTTGCCAGACACACTTCTAAGTGGCAGCCTCCAGTTCTGTGGGCAGCACACATTGGAACTGCCAGCATAAAGTATATAGAATGTTGGCCTTCTATTGGCCTTTCTTGGCTACACTGCAGAGACCAGATACAGCCCTAAGAAAAGAGGGAGTGCTAGGGAGGAGTGTCTACTAGTCCAATGAGCCAGAATAAAGGACTTCATTTTTAATTGTTATTCAGAGCCCTATGGTTAACATGTTTATCCTTTAGTAGTAATGAATCTCTTCTAATAAGTGATTGCTTCTGGGCCGGGGATTTAGCTCAGTGGTTTCGATGCCTGCTGCGCAAGCGTAAGGACCCGAGTTCGATCCCCGGTACCAAAAAAAAAAAAAAAAAGATAAGTGATTGCTTCTAATAATCTCTTCCAAGTGACAGACAATTGGGATTATAGCTTGTTTATGAAGAAGTAAACTCACATGACCTTCTGGTGAGATAATAAGGACTGGACCAAATCTTGTAGGATCAGGCTATGAATCAGGAAAGGAGGTGAATTGCATTATTATGTATTTTTTAAAGGGGTGTGATGGAGATTTTGATGAAGATTTTCTTGATAGATAAGAAGGATTTTCACAACATATCAGAGGCAACAACTCCTGAATTTCTCTTTAGGCCTCTCTGTGCTTCTTTCTTGTACCCTGACCTACCTTATTTCTCTTCTCTCCAACAGCCCCATTTCCTCACTTACAGATCCATGCTTTTCAATGCTGATTTGGTTATCGTGCCGCAAAAGGGAGATTCTTGTATCCTTTTCTTGAATTGTTCAAGTCTCATGATCTCTTGGCCTTCAGTGTAACCCCACTTCCCATCCTAATCCACTGCCTACAACAAGGTCATACTTAGATCTACACACTATTAGCTCTTTGAGGGTGGCAAGTCTGTCCTGTCTTTTATATCTCCTCTAGTGCCTAACAAAAAATGTTTAAAATTTCCTAGAAATTTTTGTGTTCAGTACCAGGTAAAATCAATATATGAAATTTCTTTGAAAACCATAAAATAATGGGCCAGGGATTTAGCTCAGTGGTGCCACTGCCTGTCTTAAAAGCACAAGGTCGCAAGTTCGATCCCTGGGGCCAAAAAAAAAAAAAGAAAAGAAAACCATAAGATAGAGATACGAATAGTCATTAAGTAATAATCCCTGGTCCCTCCAGAGCAAAACTCACATAGATCATAAATGTTGCAACTCGGTTCCCAGACTTCATTCTGTACAAGGGGCTGCTTGGCGACTGAGAAAAAAAATAGAAAATATTATTTTATGCAGATGACAAAAGTGTGACAGCCAGGATTCTACCATTAATACAAGAAGGGGAAAAATGGGGCACCAAGGTGGGACACAGCCCTGAGCTACACTCAGTGGAGTATGTGCTCATCTTTGCTGGCAGGTATGCGACCACTTTTTTACCAGACACTAACTAAGTAGGTTCCCATATGAGTGAACTGTATACTAACCATAACTACTTGTTGATAGTGAAAGCACTGTATGAGGGGCTAATTTCACCTCTGAGTTCTCTGTGAAATAAAGGAATCAATACATAGACTGTTACAGATAATTATTCTACAGAAATACCAACTCACAAGATCAGACTTCCCAATTATCTGCCAGAGACACCATCTTTTTTTCTTGCCCTGAAACAATGTGAAATTTAATTTACTGGGGATTTAGCTCAGTGGTGCCACCGCCTGCTTCACAAGCGCAAGGTCCCGAGTTCGGTTCCAGGCACCAAAAAAAAAAAAAGCGCATTTATGGTATATGGGATTTAGCTCAGTGGTGCCGCCGCCTGCTTCACAAGTGCTAAGTCCCAAGTTGGATTCCTGGCACCAAAAAAAAAGCGCATTTATGGTATATAAATTATATTTCATTTTGTTTTGGGTTTTTTTTTTTGCAAACATTTTCTCCTACTTGATGACTTGTCTTTACATTTTAAAATGGTGGTTTCATTTTATCAATGTTTTTCTTCTTTTACATATCATGCTTTGGTATTCTATCTAATAAATCTGCCTAACTTGGGTTCATAAAGATTTTTTGTTTTCTTCTAGAAGTTTTATAGTCTTGCCTTTTATATTTAGTTCTGTGGTCCATTTCACATTAATTCTTATATATGGTATGAGATAAGGTCATAAGTTATTGTTATCATTATTTCACAGGTAGATTATTGCATTATTTCAGCATCATTTTGTTGAAAAGATTATTTTTTCTTAACTGAATTTCCTTGGCACCATAGTAAAAACACAGCTGACCTAAACATGTGGGTTTATTTCTGGATTCTGTGTTCTATTCCACTGACCCATGTGTCTGTCCTTACCCCAGTATCACACTGCCTTAATTCCTGCAGCTTTGTATTAAGCTTTGAAATCAGGTAGTCTGTGTCTTCAAACTTCTTTTCAAAATTGCGTGGCTGCTCTTGGTCATTTGCATTTCTATATACATGTTAGGAGTAGCTTACTAACTTCTACAAAAATAAACCTCCTGGGATTCTGATAAAGTTGGAATGAATTTATAGACCAATTCTGAGAAGGTCTTTTTAATCCTCAAAAATTGTCTGCTACCATTAGGAAAGGTGGGCAGCTGAAGTCATGAGAAGAGAAGGACTGGGGGAAGGAGAGTTTTTACTGGGAAATTCCTGAATGAAGTGTTGCAGGCCACATTCTTCCCCCATTAGCAAATTCTGGAGAGGGGGTGGTGGTAAACCAGAAGATGAATTACCATCAATCAGCAGAAAGCAAGGCTTTCAGATATTCTCGAAACATGACCCATTGTTGTAAGACTTCACTCGGTATTTACTGAGAGCCCTAGGAGAGCTCTACCTCAAAGAAATACATAATATCCTGGCTTCCCATCACAGGAGGCTTGGTCTTGACCCCATTACCGTGGCATGGTCGAAGTGAGGTTCATAGTGGCCTCCAATTCCATAGTTCACCACCTGGAGATACTCTGCATAAGGATGCTGGACATCAAGGCCTGTGAGGGCAGCGATGCGGTGGTCAAGAGTCACCAGCACTGGATCAGCGGTGTCCTTCAGCCAGGCACTAAAACACATCACAGATTGCAGCATCAGTGATCTGATGCTGGAAATGACTACATGATTTCTGTGAATGAATGAACAAATGATACATGTCAACTAACAGAGGAAAGAAAGAAAGGAAGGGAGGGAGGGTGGGGGAGTGAGGGAAGAAAGGCAGCCATGAATATCTAATCACCTACTCATCCCTCACGTTAGGTCTGTCCAGTGTACTTTGTCCTCTATCTCGACATTCATATTCATTCACTCAACAAACATTCTCTGAGGCCCACTGAATGTGAGCCCTACACAGGGTGCTAGGCTACCAGAAATGAAGGTTCACAGCACCCAGGTCTGTGGGATACAAGGAGGAAGATAACAAAACCTTGCCCTTAAAGCCACTATGTTCCACAGACATCTACAAAAGAGGGATCTGGGTGCAATGCAGAAAGCTTAGGATTTAAAGCAGGAAGACTGTTTGGCATAGTGATGCAATCCTGTGGTCCCAGCTAATCAAGAGGCTAAGGAAGAAGAATTGCTTGATCCCAGGAGTTTGAGACCAGCCTGGGCAACATAACAAGATCCCATTTCAATGAGGGAGGGGGATTGAGATTAAATTTATAAAACTAGTCCCTGATCCTCTTTGTGACCCTAAATCAGATTTTATTTGTTTGAGTACTGGGGATCAAACCCAGGGCCTTTGCACTGACTTGCATCCCAAGTCCATTTAAAAATTTTTTATTTTGAAGGGGTCGAGGATTTAGCTCAGTGGTTCCACAGCCTGACTCACAAGCTCAAGGACCCAAGTTCGAACCCTGGTATCCCCCCCCAAAAAATTTTATTTTGAGAGAGGGTCTCATTAAATTACCCAGGCTAGGCTTGAACTTGGAATCCTTCCAACTGCGCCTCCCCAGAGGCTGATTACAGGTGTATACCACTATATCCAACTCTAAATCAGGTATCTGATCTCTTAGGGTCCGTGTGCTCATCTATAAAACAGAGACAACAATAATATCTACTTTGTTGACTGGTGATGACTGCGAGAGAAACTCTTAGGAAGATACTTTGTAAACTATGTATATGTTTGTGATCACTGTGAAACCCTGGAGAATCTATTCCTTGACTCTGCTCCAAGTCAAACCAGGACAGGTCAAAGGCCACAAGGCATAACTCAGTCTCTTCTTCTGCACATCTTGTTGAGGTTTTGACAAAGCAGGAATTTTAGAATCAGAATTTAAGTGTCTAGGAAATGAGGACAAGCTTCCCAAGCAAAGCCAGTGAGCCTCCTGGGGAGAACATTAGGGTTTTGAGGGAAGAGGTTTGGCATACTGGAACCACTCCTTTGTTCTTTAAATGATGTATTCATTTATCCATTCTTCCATACAGAGTGCATGCAAACTGTTACGGCACACGCTAGGATATTACCTTCAAAGAGTTCATGGACTGGGTAGGAGAGGAAAAACACAAATATAGATAAGGAAAATTAGAGTGAAAAAAGTGAAAAATAGACTTTAAAGTACAGAAGAGGTGGTGACGCACACCTGTAGTCCCAGCACTTGGGAGGCTGAGGTAGCAGGATTGCTGTGAGTTCAAGGCCAGCCTGGGTTATATAGTGAGTTCAGGGCCAGCCTGAACTACATAGGGAGACCCTGCCTCAAAAAAAAAAGTACAGAGGAAGGAGAAGTCAATTTTACTGGGGCACTTAGCTGAGATGATGACATCGAAGCAAAATTTTGAAGGGTGGGTACAGTTTCAATAGGTGGAAAAGAGGCAGAGCACTCCAGCCTGAAGAAACAGCATAAGCACAGACATGGAAGTGTGACAATAAATAGTATGTGCAAATGTGCAAGCATGTTGCTTGTGAAAGAAGTGATGAGAGAAAAGGCTGGAGGAGTAGGTGAAGGTGTGATGTAGAAAGATGAGGACGCCATGGTAAGCAATCTGGACTTTGTGGATTGCTGTGGTTTGAATGTGTTAGAAACTTAGTACCCAAATATATGTGTTTAATGGTACTTAGAGGTGGGGGCATTTGGAGGAAATCAGGGTTACATGAGGTCAAATTAGGGTTACATGATGGCAGCAACAGCTTGATAAGAGGAAGAGAAAGATGAGCTCGCACACTTGCTCTATCTCGCCATGTGATGCCCTCTGTCGTGTTACAATGCAACAAGAAGCGCCCCATCAACCTCCTATCCTGCAGAAGCATGAGCTAAATCAATCTCTTTCATGTCCCCATTCTGTGGTATTTATTTAGTTATTGCAACAGAATATGGACTAAAGACACAGATAATGGATAGACCATGAAAGTGTATAAGCAAGAAAAAGATTTGACAATTTGGAATTCTCTAGTGACCTTTGAAAGACCAGTCCCAGTAAAATTATGAGTGTAGAAGCAAAATTCAAAGGGTTGAGGAGTGGTGTAAGGGGAAAATGAGAAGGTGGCTTGATCTGAAGAAAATACTATCTATTCCCCCCAAAAGCAATGACTCTAAATAGAAGGTTGAATTTTCTCTCTGACACTAGAATTTCAGAAAGGTTAGAAAAACAATTACGTTAAGGTCACATAGTCCTCCCAAAGTTTAGAGAATAACTCCTAATGTGAAAGGTCTTAAATGTGCCAGACCAAATAAGTTAATCCAAAATGATTCTGATCAAAGCTTTCATTTCTCACCTTCACTTCCTAGAAGCCCTACAACCCATCCTGAGATATGGCCTCCCCCAGGGACACTGATGTCACTGTCACACATGGCTTTGCTGGAGACTTACTCTTATCATCAGTCTTGTCCTCACAGTGCAAATACTGGGGGTGGGGTCAGGAATGGAGTGAAGCTGGGCTCCCACAGTTGAATCTGCTCCCCTGGAGAAGCCCTTGGGTCCAGGGACTCCATTCATCCCTCTTGCCTGAGTATTGGCAACTCATGCTTTGCATGAGTCAGGAGGTGGGAATGGAAGCCTGTAAAGTCAAATTACAAATGTAGCAGGGCTGTATTCTCCAGAAAAGTGATTCTGATTAGAACAACTATATGTTTATGTTTTGGTTTAGAGCAGAAGATTTTTTTCAAGTCTAACCCTAATGGCCTCCTAGTTAATTCCTCAGATGATTTAACCACATGAGATTAAATGCCCTTGGAGTGAGGGGAGTGGAAACTACTCCCTCTTAAAAAGAAGGTATAGATATAAAAATGAACCATGGGTTTTCCAAGGGCACCTTTGACTTTCCTAGAAAGGCTGCTGCAGACCTGGCAGTCAGCTGTGCCCTAGCCTGAGGGCAGGTAGTAGCAGGAGTCCCTGGTCTTTGAAAAAAGGGTCCTTCTTACCTTTTGCTGATGCGGTACTCCACTTGTAATTGCTTTTCCCCTGACGCCACCACTGATCTCTGGAGCTGGGGTGAAGAACACAGGACAAAATCCAAGTGGTTATAATGCAAAGGGAAGAGCTATCTACACACATGGCCCTCTCTGAACCACAAACACAACTGCCAGGTCCTCCCTCATTAGTGGATATTTTGTACACAATGGCTATTGATCTTGAGAATAAAAATATAATAAGTGATCAAAATATTAGAGTTGAAAGTAACCTTTACTGTTGTTTTTTGTAAATGGTAAACACCCAATAAAGTTTGTTGAACTAAAATAAACTGGTATTTGAATCCCTTTGGTATCTGCAAGACTGAGGTAGGGGCTATTTCTCCTCCCTCTTTGTACCACAGGGCCACTCACAGGGCCTGATTATAAGCAGCCCTTGGTGTTTAATTAAATAAACATCTCCAACAATAGGAAAAATCTATGCTCAGAGACAGCCTGCTCCTTTTGAACAATTCTGGCCAAATCCCTTCCTTAGTAAGAATCACAATTTGTTTTGCTACAACTGCCTTGATTATGAAAGAACTTTAATAGGTCTGAAGTCACTAATTTAACAGAATGTCTATTTTGTTCTGAATGTCTGGATATAGGATTTAAATTATTTTTGTAAAAAGTACCTCTTTATTGTGAAATCACCATACTAGAGACAGAAAGATTATTTTTATGAGCATGTGTCTACCTCCGGCTCCATCATCAGATTGGCAGCTCCCTGAGGGCAAGGACCCAGTTTGGTTTCAGGGCTGTATCACCAGGGTGCAGAGAAGGCCTGGCAGGGATTAGGTGTTCAGTGCTGGTTAAACAAATGAATGAATAAATGAAACAGGGCCCTGGGGTGAAAGGTGCTGCTGGGACTCAGACTCAGCCCTGGTACTTCCCAGGCAGTCAGGCTCAGCCTAGGGCAATGAAGAGACAGAAACCCTTTCTCTAAAACTTCTTTAAGATCACTGTTCCTGCTGTTAACCCAGGCTGACAATATTGGAAAATCCTATTCCTTTTCCTTGGACCCATTTCCCTGTCTATAAAATGCAGCACATGAACATATTCTTGAGACTTCCTCTCAGCCTCTTGCTCTACAGTATTAGGATGCCAGAAATCAGGTGACTAATATTGGCTCTATTTATCCTTCACCAATTTTTTCCTGGCATCCTCTCCCAAGTAATTTATATAGGAGAGGGCAAAATCAATGACAAAATCTTAGTGAATCCTCCTTCCTCAAGTAAGGAGCTACTTTGTATCTAATTCCTTTAACAATCATTTATTGTCTACCTACAAGCCATTTATTTTTGGAGCAAACATCATATTTATTGGTTGTTTTCTGTAGTAAGCACTGTACTAGGCATCAGAAAAACAAGGCACTAGGGCCGGGGATTTAGCTCAGTGGTTTCGTCGCCTGCTGCACAAGTGCAAGGACCCAAGTTTGATCCCCGGTACCCCCCCCCAAAAAAAGAAAAACAATGCACTAATCCACACAAAAATCCCTACCTGTTAAGTTATCTAGTGGTGCCACTAGATTTGTACTTGCCACATGGGCAAGTACAGGGTGCTATGGAAACATAGAGAAGGGGGCCCAGTCCATTCTTATGAAGAACAGGAAGGCTTCCCAGCACATCCACAAGACTCACTTGATACAGGTGAAGGGTACAGGGTACAGTGTTCTAGGCAGAAAGAAGAGACACAGCATGGTCCATTCCCAGAAAACAAAGCTGTCCACGTGGCTGAAATGTCAAGTGCAAGGGGGAGATGTGGAAGAGCAGCGGTGCCATGAAGCTTTGCGAGCATTTAAGGGCAAAAGTGACCCATTAAAGAGTTTAAGTAAGGGATTTAGAAGGTCAAATTTGACCTTTTAAAGATTATTCTGGCTGGGTGCAGTGGTACTTGCCTATATCCCAGCACTTGGGAGGCTGAGACAGAAGGATCATTTGAGCCCATAGGATCCAGATCAGATCAGCCTGGACAACATGGCAAGTCTCCAACTCAAAAAAAAAAAAAAAAGAAGGAAAAAAAAAGATTATTCTAGCTGTAACAAGCATAACACAGGGCGAGGCATTTGAAGAAAGATACAATGCTTGCTAGTTTACAGTGATACCAGAACAATCCATAAATAGCAGAGTAAATTTAAAAATCAACTGCCACACTAGACTATTAGAAAAGAAGAAGGGCATTAGAGGAAGGAGGAGGAGAGGCTCAGGGAGGTTTATAGGGAGATGGATAATCATTTTATCACGTATAAAAATGCTTTAAAAAACCCCATTACTTTGTATAACAGTAACATAAAAAGAAAAAATTATGTACTGCATAACTGGCAACAAAAGCTCTGAGTTCAGAGGAGGAATAGGTTGATTTATGTGCCTCCAAAAAAATGTCCTAGAAAACATGATTATTCAAAAAACAGTGAAAGTAGCCCAGAATAGTCAGGGAAACAGGTCCAAAGGATGCCTGGGGTTTTAATTGAGCCTTCCAGGATGGGTAGGATGCAGGGGTGGGGGAAGTGGTGGGTAGGTGGGGGGAGAATGATGAGAGCAGATCTGGGAAAGGGAGAATGAACACGAAGCAGATCCAACAGGAGCCACGGAGGCGGCTGTGCTCGGTTGTGATTGGAAGCCAGTCCATGTAAACCCCGGGGTTATTCCTGGAAAAGCCAAAACCCAGACAGGCAGCAGCAACCCCAGGGAGACACTTCTGGAGGAAGGGAGTATGGCAAGGCCTGTGCATGCCATACAGATGACCTGGACATAAAGGAATCAAAGAACATCTCTGGGTGGGCTCCTGTCGCCATGGCAACAGAGTTGTTCTGACGAAAAAGCTGTTGCTGGCCAAATATGACTGCTGGCTCCCTGAGAAGCTGATGCTGTTGAAAACACATTGTCCCATCACCAGTGGAGCTTAATCAACTCAAAACTTTCTGTACCAAGATTCTAGACTTGCCTGGAAGAGCTCTTGGATGAAATTATTGCTGTTCTTCTCCCTCCAATCCATGTCTGCTGTCAGTCTTCCTTAAAATCACAACTTTGATCATGCTACTCGCCAGTTTCAAATTGCCCCACAACCCTCCCATGGGATAAAATCCAAACTCCCCAGAATGGCATATATGGCCTTTGTTAATGGTGGCTCACTCCAAGCCTCATCAACCTTTGTCCTCTACCCTGTCCCGTTCACACTTCAGCCACCAAGCTTCCCCCTGTTCTTTGATGACACTACATGTCAGGCTCTAGCACATATGGCTTTGTCTTTCTAGGGTACCATTTACCACTTCGTTCAGCAGATGGCTTTCACCCCACAGTGGAGCCTGCTACCGTATCCTTTCCTCCCAGCAATATTCTCTTCAGAGAAAGGCTCACATTTTCATGGCACCACAGCACAACTCTGCACACACCTCTTATATGGTGTGTATCATAGTGTTGTAAATATCTGCTTTCCCCTTTAGGCAGTAGGCTCCTAAAGGGAAAGGAGCGATATGTCATCTCTTTGTAAAACCCCAGCACTGATCATAGTGTCTGGCATAAGCAGGCTCTGCTCTGTTGAGGATGAATAAATATCCACCTGGATGAAACAGCACATATTAAGGTTATGACATCTAGGTGGACATAAATAATTCTGAGACAGAATTCATGGGCCATTTAAATTTTTCTGCAATTCTAGGACTCAAATCCAGGGCCTTATACACGCTAGGCAAGCACTCTTGCATTGAGATACTTTCCTATCCCAATGTGCCACTTTTAAAGAGACAACAGGCTTGTAGAGATGATATTTTTTCTAAATATTACCACGATTTCCTAAGGAAATCATGAACTGTCCCCTTCAAATGGTCTCAAGCTTGGCTTGGTGCTTGCATGGATTCCTGTGGAAGGACAGATAGATTTCCCCATTGCCTGTAGTGGTGGCCACAGGCTTTGCTTTAACTAATGACACATGAGTGGAAGTAATGTCTGGCACTTCCAAGCAGAAGCTTTCAAAGCCAGCTCATGTTTGCCATCTCTGTCTTTTTCCTCTCTCATAAGACTGGCAAAATCTCAAACAGAGGCTGTTCTGTCAGACTTGGTTCCAGAGTAGAGACAGCATAGGGCAGAGCCACATTAACCTAGGATAGACATGTAATGGGGGAAATTATTGTCTAGATTCAGGGGCTGTCTGTTACCAAGTATAACTTAGCTTAAGTTAACTGATATAAGAAAGAAAAACAGCACAGTGGCAATCAAAGTACTTCTAAGTTTCTGTTGTGGCTCTAGCTCCATATGACCTTAATCAAACCCATTCCCTTCACCAACCATTTCACATGGTTGACATTTTAGGAAGTTTACTTTGCATTTTTTGAAGTTTACATGTAATGATATGCATAGGTCTCAAGCATTTACATTTGCTGAGTCCCCCCGCTCCCCTACCAGGACCTTGCACTTGTGAGGCAGAATTGGTGCCACTGAGCTAAATCCCCAGCCCTACATTTGCTGAGTTTTGACAAATACATGCAGCCATGTACTCTACAGCCTTAAGAAGATATTGAGAGCACATTTTTAATACCCCAGAAAAATCCCTTGGTACCTCATCTCAGTGAATCCTTTTCCTCCATAGACAACCACTGTTGTGATTTTCTCCACCATGGAGATCTATGGAATGGCTGGAATTTTGAGCTCCTGGATTGATAAAACTGTGCAGGCTGCCTATTCTCACATTCCTGAAGTCCAGACACATGAAGATTTGGGAACACTCACCCATGGTTCTGCAAGCTTTCGAATCTTCTGAGCTTCTGGGTCACTGACAAAGTCATGGTAGAGAGCAACATAGGGTTCCAGGTGAATGACCTCCTTCCGAACTGGCTGAAGCAGCAGATAGGGGCTGGAATTGGTCTCATAGGAGCAATAGAGGCCAGGGATCTGGTAGTGAATGGGCTGGAAGGACAGAGAAGAATTGGCATAAGAGAGGAAGGGTCTGGGAGCAGAAATTAATTCGGGGGATCTACAGCATAAAAAAACCACAATTTGAGAGCTACAGAATGTGGTTATTCAGGTGCTGTCTGAATGAACATTACTGTTTTTAATACATCAGCTTTTCTCCCTTCCATTGTTCCAATTCTAGCTTCTCACTCTCTAGCCAAGCCTGTCCTCCCTCTTTCTCTTTCCCTGTGGAATCCTACCTGAGAACCCAGGGTCTGACACAATCCCTCATACGTGTCTCTGGTCTGCAGGTGGGGCACGTTGGGCCTCTGGATGACAGTCTCAGCTACTGCTTGGTGAGGGTTCTCTGCCAAGAGCCTTTCATACTTCAACACATTCCTGACCATCCTCTTATTTTCTGGGCCTGGGGGAAATCAGAGCACAAAATAATACAGGCTAACAGACAGTGGCCCTAGGAAGTAATATCAAGACTACAACTTTGATGTCACACAGGACTGGCAACTGGATACCCTAAAAAACTCCTCATATCAATGCTCTTATTTCCAGAAGAATATCTGGTATTAAAAGAAGACTGACTTGGGCCTGGTAGATTTAAAGGAACAAAGGGCTTTGGGAAGGAAAGTCGTACTTAGCACTTTCAGACCACGGGAACTTGAGGATGGTGTGATGGTCAGTTTTATGTATAGGAAAGAAGCTTTGTTCATTCATTCACTTATCCATTCAATAATGTTCAATAAATATCTTGTATATACCAGATGTGGCCCTAAAGGATAACTTCCCAGAGTTTACAGTCTAATGATCAGTTAGAAGAAAACATGCTAAGTAAGTGCCATGAAAGGAAGTTTGTGGATCCCGAGCCTGTAGCACAAGAGCCCAACTTATTCTTTCCTGGAGAATTGGAAGCTAATTCTTTCTCTGCTCCATTAGATCCTTCAAAATTTCTAACTGGCCTAGACACACAGCAGAACAGTATGAGACAAAGGGATTGTGGATCTTGGTTCTTGTCTGATTCACATAGGGCCCAAGGGAAACCCCGGGAACCTTATGAATCTTGCTTGTGCCCATCTGTTTGTGCCAGTTTGGCTATAAGATGGGTTGACAGCTACCTATGTTCTACTGGCCTCTGCGCATGATTCTCAGTGATTCTCAGAAGGAGGTGCTGAATTGTTCTAATGCCCTCAAAGTATCTGAGGAGCCCAATGTGCTTCTAACCACACCACCACCACCTTGGCAAAAGAGGAGAGGGGGGAGCAGAAATTACTATTCCTTTCTAACAAAAGGAGAAATGAAGTTTTGGAGAATGGAAATGGTAAGCCCAAACACCAATGGAAATATTGCAAAGCTAGGAATGAACCTCAATTTTCCATGCCCTACTTCACCAAACTGTGACAGCATACAATTTGGATTCCATGGGAGAGATAGATTTTAATAGATCAAAAACAAAGAAATAAAGAAGAGCTGAGTTTTAATTTTGTTTATACTACTAATCACCCATGTGTTTCCAAACTATGCAGCAACTTTCATATCCTACTGTTTGTCAAATTAGTGGAAAGGAATAATGTTATAGTTGTCCCTCAATATCCAGGGGGGACTGGTGCCAGAACACCTATGTATACCAAAATACCTAATATAATATAAATGCGATGTAAATAGTTGTTATACTATATTTTTCAGGGAAAAATGACAAGATAAAAGTCTACACATGTTCAGTACAGATGCAATTTTTTTTCAAATATTTTTGATCCCAAACTCGCAGATATGGTGGGCTGACTGTACTAAAATTAGAATAGTTATAAAGTCCTATATGAAATGTATTATAAATATTAAGACAATCAAAATATCAGTGTTTTTTGCTTTATTTTAGTATTAAAATACTTTATTGAAGCAAAACCTAGGGAGCCATCTACCACAAACATTTTAAACAAAACTCAGCTAGGAATCATCTCCCTCCAGTTTAAGGCATTTTGTTGTTAGTAAGGCACTCCTCTGAAGGGGCTGAGGCTGAACTCTGGAGCCAATGGGCATGATACTTGCATAGCAAAGTAACCTCCAGTTTTACAAGAAGATAGAGCTCTGAAAACAATCAAAGGGAATAATCCTGAGTACACCCAGAGAACACTGATTTCATTCATCCCTGGGTCTACTTCCAAAGCCCAGGTCATTAAAATGTCTCTGAAGAAACAGGCTCCCAACCTGGACTTGTTCCCACTGAAGGAACAAGTTGAGGAGGGACAGGTTGATGTCTTCTTCTCCACATTTTCCAACTAACTCACAAATCTTCTGTGATGCACTGATCTGCGTATAACTAAGACTTCATCCAAAATCTGAAATATACCTTGGATTATGAATTAGAATAATAAAACTAAATATCTATATTTAACTTGCAAAAATTAAATGCCAGAAGCATAAGTCAGACCCATGGCCAGCTTATCTTTTATCATCACTTACTGTAGAGAAGAAACTCTCGGGAGAGGCTGAGAGCACATGAAACATTTCCTGCCTTATTAAAAAAGAAAAAGAAAAGAAAGCATTAACAACACTGAGGATAATGCCTCTGACCAAATCACTGACTAAATTTTATAAAAGCAAACTATAGTCTTACCACAAGTAGATACTAGAGCTGGGGATTTAGCTCAGTGGTTCTGCTGCCTACCTCACAAGGGGGAAGATCCCAAGTTTGATCCCTGGTACCAAAGGAACCCCCCAAAAACAAAAAAACCCAAACAAACAAGTAGATACTAAAGCTCACTGAAAAGAGCAGCAGGCTAGACATGTAGAGGATTTGCCGAAAATCAGCTCTCCTTTGTCTCATTTACAAATGACTTGTTGCCACCCTGCCCAGAAAAACAACAGTAATTTAATAAACATTATTTGCTCAATAGAAAAATAAAAATGAACTTTCTTGAAGTACTCGTAAATCTCAAAGTGAGCAAACCTATGTAGTTATAGGATGTTGTGATATTTTGTTATGAAATTTAAATGAAACTGTAAAACTCTAGTAAAAATATAATTTGTTCCCCAGACTCAGGACTTTCTAGAGCACTTTGAATAACACATGATTTTTACACAGTTACAATAATATATTTTACATTATCATATCCTGATTATTTTACTCTATTGTTATCAGAATTTTTTTGTTTATTTTGTTCATTTGCTTTTTATGGAACTAGGGACTGAACCCAGGACTTTGCATTAATTCACATCTCAGCCTTTTAAAATTTTATGTTTGTGATTTGAGACAAGGTCTTGCTAAGTTTCTAAGTTGCCTAGGGTGGGCTCAAACTTGTGATCCTTCTGCCTTAGCCTCCCAGAGTGCTGGGATTACAGTTGTATGCCCCCACCATGCTCAGCTTCATAATGGTTTCTATGTTAATACCTACCTTTGTAGATAGCATTTTTAGTGGTTACATTTTATTCCATCCAGAAACTACATTATAGATGACAAACATTCCACTATTGTTGGGAGCAGAGATTATTTCCAGTTATTTATTATCATGAATTATTCTGCTCTATACTTAGAAGAAGAATAGTTAAGTGATCTATGGATATCTTGTAATGTCAAATATTAACTCAGGATGTAATAGCTTTTCACACTCTGAGATGAAGAGAACTAAAACACAATTTTACATAGCTTCAAAACTCAAGAGCTTGTAATAATATTATAATTTATGAAGAACAAAGAGTTACTTTTGATTCCCAGTTAAATTCCTTTGGAAATATACATATTAAGTAACATTAGCTGAGTGTGATGCTGCATATCTGTAATCCCAGCACTCCAGGTGGCTGAGGCAGGAATATCACAAATTTGAGCCTAGCCTGAGCAATTTAAGAGACTTAAATATAAAAAAAATAAAAAATTTTTTAAAAGGTTGAGGATGCATTGTAGGGCAAAGGCTCTGGATTCAATCCCAAGTACCAAAAAAGAGTAACATTAAATGAAAAAGGAGAACACATACTTATATAATAACAGCTTACACTCACTAGTGCATGCTGTGTGATAGATGTGTCAAAAGCTCTGCATGGATTAGCTCATTTAATCCTCATAGCAACCCTCTGAGATAAGCATCATTATTATTCTCCTTCTACAGATAAGAAAATTGAGGCCCAGGTAAGTTAAGCAAGTTGACCAAGTTTTCACAGAATTTGAGCCTTGCTCTGTGTGATTCCTGAACCTATGGTTTAATCACCATCCTCTACTGACTCTCATTATCAGCAGCTTCTAAACACTTCTTTACTAAAATATGTAATGAAGAAATATATATATATATATATATTACATTTTATACAATAACAAGAAGTCCATGAAGGGACATTTACCTCTCTAATTTACTGGGGGAAAGGGAAGAGATAAAGAAATCATCTATAAGATGAAGTCTTATATGTTTTATTACTTTGGCATTTAAAAAAATGCACTGTGAGAGCACATGGAGAAAGCTGCACAGAGTAGGTAACATTTGAGCTGGCCCTAGTCTGGGGAATAGAATTTTGCCAGACAAAGCACCTGTGAAAGGAGAGTCTACCAATGAGCAGAGGAGAAATCTGTCACAAGAGTTAGGGAAAAACAAAACAAAACTAATAAGAAGGCACTGTATTTAAAACCCTATCTTTTGAGGGGTAAGCTGGTTTAACCAGTCAACCTTCTCTGAGCCTCTTTGCATCAATTCTCCTTTTTCTTCCTCTGTTAATCATTTCTCATTGTCACAACTCAGTTATTCTGGTTTTGCTCTACTGTGTAGCAATGGGGCAGGAGAGTTAGAAAAAGGTCGCTTTATGACAGATCCATTTACCAGGAACTTTCATGGGAGAAAGAGGACTGCAAATCTGTTCTCCCAGCAATATGTGGGTTTGGACCACTCATATCCTCCTTTTTCTCAGGATAAGGAGGAAAGAAAAAGAAATTTGGAGGTGGGGATGTAGCTCAGTGGTAAAGTGCTTATCTAACATACCCTAGATTTGGTCCCCAGTACCAAAAGAGGGTAAAAAAAAAAGGAATAAAAATGGTTTATTAGCTTTGGAAACTCCAGGTGTGATAGTTAACTGATTGTGTAAACTTGAGTAAGAAACACCCAACTACATTGGATCAGCATAGTTGTGGGTATGGCTGAAGGGATTTACTAAAAACTGCAGACCCACCCTGGGTGTGAGTGACACCAACCAATAGGCTTTTCACCTGAATGGAATAAAGGGAAACAAAGAAGGAAGGTTCGGTTCTGTTTCTTTGGAGGAGCTCCAGTCTTCACCTTCACCTCAGATGTTGTATCCTGGCTTTCAGTGCAGACTCTTCAGCACCCAGCACAGACCCTTCAGCCTCCTGATATGGACTCACATGGGCTACAGTGAGCTCCAGGCCTTTGACTGGATCCTTCAGATCTCCAGTACTCAGACAGCTCTTTGGCACCTTTCCATACCTGACTCCGAGGGTGGCCACTGTAAGCCAATCTTGTAAATTCTTACGTATTTGTAGATCTTACATTAGATCTTTTTCTCTAGTAAGCACTAAGTGATAGATACATCAGGGAACTGGCTTCATAGCAATTTTTTCAGCCTATTCTTTTTTTTTTTTTTGGTAGCGGGGATTGAATTTTCAGCCTATTCTTGAAGACTATACAATTCTAGTAGAGAATAGGATCATCGACACAAAGGGATGGCAGCTGCTTAATCTTTAGGGAATGAACTGCCATGTGAAGCACGGCAGGTAGTAGCGTGTCAAGAACCACTGTCAAGAAAAGATGACACCTGCAGGAGGCATGGAGGCTGGGACTATGGCTTAACAACTCTAGTTCTGTAGCTGGACACTAACCACTTTACAGCTGGACTCAGTGGCAGATGAGAGAGGATAATCAAATTTCTTTCTTCATGGCAATGTCTGTGAAGAGTTATCAGTTGTTGAGAGTGCAAAAGGGTGATTTACATTACTATGACCTTGTTAAAGATTTGTGGATCCAGATGCTGTTGCCATAGGTAAGAGACTGCCTTCTTCTTGGGTTCTAAGTCCAGCTCTACGTGGTTAGTGATAATTTAAGAATTTTTTGGAGACTCAGTTTACTCACATGTTATATATGGAAATAATAAAATAACTGCACTCGCATTTGGGGAGATGAAACAGATTAAGAGGCATGAGAATGCTTAGAAAGTTGTAAAACAGATGTAAAGCATTATATTTATGATAACAAAGCAATGAGCTTAACTTGCTCCCCTACCTGGAAACAAGCAAAGGCCAAATGATCCAAGGCATCTTCTAGACTTGCCTCATCCTCTGTCTTCCACTCTCCATAAGATCCTCTGAAGAGACTGACTGCCTCCTCCAGCCATGGAATGGCATGGTAATAATCTCCCATGTCATAGGCCACCTGCAGGGAATACAGTACCACACTAATGCCTTATCCCACTGCTAGAGGAAAGGAGATGATAATTCAGAGTAAGAGGCCTTTGAAACCCAAGAATGTATGTTTTAACCTCAAACTCATTTTATTTAATTTATTAAGCACCCATGAATAAGGCATTATATTAGATGGAAAGGAGACACAAGAGTTCTTGCATTTAAATAATTTATAATCTGAGAAAGAAGACAGAACTCAAGTAACTATAACATGGGGCAGAGTAGCAAGAGTGCTTGAAAGAATATGCTATGGAGGCCTAGAAAAGGGAAGAAACTTGGGAATTTCAGTAGACAATTGCAGAAAGTGTGGCATCTGAGATGGGCCTTCCTTGAAGAAGGGAAAGGATTTCAATGAGCAGAGAAAGGGAGAAAGTGCATTTTAAGATGAAGGAATGGCATTAAAAGAAGCCAAAAGCAAGAATGTGTTCATGTAATCCATTGGGACTCTAATCTAAAGTGAAGAAAATGAACATTGAAAGAGAACATAGACTAATCTAATTTAGGTAGATATTACTTAGGTAGATATTAGGTAGATATTACTGGTAACAATTCATTTATTTATTCAATATTTACTCAGTATTATGTACCTGGTGGTCCTTGTCCTTAAAGACCCCGAATCAAGTGAGGACACATGAAGAAAGTAAGCACTGTAATACAGTGCATTAGTTACCATAATGAAGGCATACATGGGAGAGCTATGGGAGCTTGGTGGATCTGTTCTGATTAAATACTGGAATGCAGGGCAACACGTACCAGACATGACTCCTGTCTCCTGACAGCTTATAGTTAACTAAATTACCAGACCTGCAGGTGCAATTACTGAAAGTTAATGCTGGAACCAACATGGAACTATAAAGTCACGACATTGGGAGAACTCTTACAAAATGATCTAATTTAAGTGTAACTTCCAGACAGGGCAGAACCTAGAGATACTGCAACGCTACAGCCTAAATAATAAAGTAACTCCTATTACATTACGCTGCCTATGTTTCCCATTTGTAAAAAAGTTGAGCTGAATAATAATAATAACAAATGACAGAACTTTTCCTGATGAGTTATTCTCTTTTTTTTTTCAGTTCTAGGCATGAACCTAGGACCTTGCACAAGGTAGACAAGCACTCTACCACTGAGCTACATCCCCAATAATTTAATTAATATTTCCATGAGGAGCTTCAAGTTATAGCAATATGATAGATTGAGGTAAACTGAATTCTTCCAAATACAAATATTTAGACATTTGTAGTGAAATGTAAAAAGCACTTTATGATATATCTTCAAGAAAAAATGGAAAATATCAGGTACCAGAAACAAAAATTAGCTGAAAACCCAAGCAATAAGCTTATGAGCAGATGCTGAAGCTGTATAGCATTGAGGTAGGTGTCTGTCTTACTGACCTGGTGTTTAGTAACCTTAGGATATAATGCCCACATAAGAACAGAAGACCTCCAAAAACCTTCAAATTGAGACTGAAACATCCTCATAAACTGGATCCCATGAAAAACTACACCTTAAGCAAAAGGGTAAACTAGGAAAATAATTATCCACTGGCTTAAGGAGACAAGAAAGCAGATTTGTTTCTGTCTGGTCTCTATGCAGAGAAATAAAATGTTTCCTAGAATATTTACTGTTGTGAGGCCATGCTTCATGCGAGTTTAGAGTTTGAATTTATAATATTCATATGGTCAAGGAACCACTGGGCCAATAAATCAGTATAAAAATGGATCTAAGACCTATGATAACACCTGTGTTCCTGGCAGAAGAAATCTTAAACTCTGGAGGGATTTTCCACAGCTCTGGGCACAGAAATTTTCAGAGGGGAAGGCTAAGTGTGTGTGTAGGGGGGAATAACTTGGTGAAAATAAACTGTGAATAAAACAAGACAAACTATATCAGAAAATAATCCATTATGAGAAGAATCAAGACAGCACTGTGCAGTAGGGGAATTAGACTAAAATCTCAGAAAACAGAAGGGCCAGTTTACTTTAAAATAACCCATAGAGGAAGGAATTGGGAAAGTACTGGTGAAACAAATTTGGCCACATGTTTGTAATTATTGAAGCTTATTCTTCCACCTGGCAATTCTACTCCCAGTACTCACCCAAGAGAAATGAAGACAAACGTTCACAGCACATACCTAAGAATGTTAATAGCAGCTTTATTCACAGTAGCCCAAACTGGCAACAATCTAAGTATAAAAAGCTCATGCTGGATAATACTTTGTGTTATAATTGGATACTGCTCAGTAATAAAAAGGAATGAACACTAACAAATGCAACAGTGTGGATGAATTTAATAAATATTAATGTGCAGAGTAAAAGAAGCCTAATTCAAAACAGCACATACTATCTCGTTCAGGACAATGGTACCTAGGCAAGGGTAGTGTAGAGGGGGCAGGGAGGTAGGCGGTTAAGAGTGGGGCTGTAAGTGTATGCAACATCTTAAAAAAATCTGAAATGTAGCAGAACTTGAACATATATCACATTTCAATTATAAGCATAATTTCTTGTTATTTTAGTATTTTTCTTACATTTGAAATGTTTTAGCTTTCAATACAAGAAAATACATATAGAAAAAAAAGGTTGCCAGCAAGACTTTTGGGAAGAGTTTAATAAATTTTCAACATATGGTTTTAGTCTCAGAAAGGGCTCACTGATGAATAATGTATTGGTACCATACATCAGACTATTTTAACTGGCCTAAATTTAAATTAGCCATGAACATAATGATGGCTAATTCTGCTCAACACCTCAGAAAGGGAAAATGGTATGTAGAGAAATTCAGGGCAATGAACTCTGAATTAATTTGGAAAACTGATCCCTAAAATTTGGAACCAGGACTTGTGAGGCCTACTGTCAGATCTGCTAATGAATATGGTAGAAGCCAAGAAAAATTCACTCTCCTGCAATGCACAGCTTCAAAATTTAAAAATAGGTTGAAGGCAAAGGTTGGCAAAGAGTACATTAGAAAATAACCTCCAGTGTGATTGTAAATTATGACCAAAGATTAAATACATCATATGGGAGGTTCCTGAAGTCTGTTTCCTTGAGTAAAATTAAAGTGAATGGCCTCAGTATTTTTATACCAATTTAATTTAGTATTTTTGAAAACTTAGGAAGCATTGCAAGGAATTCCAGTAGGTCTCATCTTAACTGCACATCATCATCTCTTATCCTCTTCCTCACACTCTTCCCTGCTTTCCTTTTCCATTCAGTGGTTCATCTTCTGGCAGGGGGTAGAGTTAGGGCAACCAATGGATCATTTGGCCTAGTTTATGTCTGTTGTCTTGGCATAATTAATAACATCACTTTCACTCATAGGCTTTCCTAAGTATAAGATCACTTTCCCACGGAAAGTTGGTGGGATCTAGAATTAAAAGACTAGGTTCAAAATTTAGTTTACTGCTTCAAATGGTGCAATTTTAATTATCTATCCTCTGTGAAGCTTAGCGTCTTCTTCTGAAAGTGGGAATAGCATCAAATTTCCAGGGGCCAAGGATTTAGCTCAGTGGCACAGTGCCTGCTTAGCAAGCCCAATCTCTTGAGTTCAATCCCCAATACCAAAGTGTGTGTATATATATATATATATATATATATATATATATATATGCACATATATATGAAACAGGAACGTGGTTATTTCATCCATGAGAAACTAAAGCTAACCCTCTCTGAATGTCATTACCTTGCCTACTTGGAAGCAGTCGTCCGCTGTAAGAGAGAAGAGCTGCCTAGGACTGTATAGGTCAGTGACAGCAGAGCCGGTGACTCTCTGAAAGACACCCTGGGCAAGACCCTTCACATTGAGCATGTATACATCCTGCAGCCTCATCAGGGCCCGTGCTGCACCCTCCAGGTCCTCAAAGGCTGGAAGTTCTTGTTCCACTTTCTCATAACCATCCTTCAGAGCTGTAAAGGTAGTAAAACCATAATCTAGCCTTCAAAAAAACACGTGGTACAGTAGGGGTGTAGCTCAGTGGTAGAGCACTTGACTAGCATGCCTGAGGCCCTGGGTTTGGTCCCCCCGCACCACAAATAAACACACAAATAGGTGGTGAGCATTTAAAACACATGGGGCATGACCACCTAGTCAAACAGTTCATGAGATACTGCATTTCTCTTTGTGTTCCCCACCGGCAACCACAGTCACTGGAACACAGCAGAGGAACATTCAGAATGAATGGATAAGGACTAAATATAAGGCACACACTATTGTCCCAGCCTATATTCCTCCAGGAATCTTGCCCTTTAAGGAGACAACTCATCCTCTTCACTTCTCAAAAGCCAACAAACTTGTTGAAGTACAAAGGAGAACATATTAAGAAAGTGGTCTTGGTGTAGATCACATTGTATTATCCCATTTTCAAATTAAAACCTTAGTGAAACAGAAACTCGCGGGACACCATTACCTTTTATACATATACAGAAGGGATAATAGATCCTGTATTTCTAATAGAATCGTAGTAAAGATCAAATGGGATAGTAGATATGAAAGTCTTTGCTAATCTATAATAATATAAACCTATTAGCAAGGGGATCTAATTGTTTGGACTTACAAGAGCTAAGATCACATAATACCTACCCACTCAATTACCCTTCATCATATCCCGATAGAACCTCTCTCCTTACCACTGAGCCAGGAGTTAGAAGTTTCTTTCTTACCCTCCAGCCCTCTGCCTCATTACCTTGGATGTTCTCACTGGCCTCTAGACTATGTACCACATTCCTCCAGTCAGACTGAAGGCGTTTGATGAGAGTGAAGGCAAGCAGAGGGTTAGCCACAGGGGTTGCTGAATCTTCATGCAAGGAAAGTACCTTGTCATAGAATCTGAAAGAAAGAAGTACAATGTTTTCACCTCCTGATACAATCACTATACCTACAGAAAGCTGTCATGGTGTGCATACATTGTGGGGCATGATGGTGCACACCTTTAATCCCAGCACTCAAGAGGCTGCGGCAGAAATATTGCAAGTTTAAGGCCAGCCTGGGTTGCACAGTGAGTTCAAGGCTAGCCTGGACTACATAATAAGATCCTGTCTCAAAAAGCAATATCAAAACAAAACAAAACAAAAAAGACTAGCTAAAATAGGTCTAGGAGATGTCGCTCACTTGTCTAGCATGCATGAAGCCTTGGGTTTGATCTCCAGCACTGAGTGTGGGGAGGGGAGTAGGTAAAATTTAAGGGCTGATTCTCCTAAGACTCATGTAATAATTTAACCAAAAAGCCACGTAAGCACAAAGAACATGAAAACTCAAATACAACAAAAGTAGGTTTACTCATTTGCTCATTGAATAAGCCAGTGTATAGCATCCAATTTCTGTATGTCAGGCAACATGCTAGAGATACAAGTACAAGACATGGTCCAGCTCCTAAAGAGTTTGCAAACAAGAAAGGTTTTCTTTTCTGCTGTTGTCATTCTATTCCCAATAGTTAGTGTCTGGTAGAAACTCAAAAACATTGTTGAACAAGTTAATGATAATTTTGAAATATACTAGAAGATAATTGAGCATATAATGCTATGGCAATTTGTAAGCAGGGCTTAACCCAAGTGAGAGTTGCAAGGAGAAAAGGAAGACTTCCCAGAAGCGATGACACTTTACCTGATACTGCAAGGGTTTGTTAGAATATTGATGACTATTTTTTTTTTTTTTTGGTACCAGGGATCGAACTTGGGTCCTTGCGCTTGCGAGGCAGGTGGTCAAACCACTGAGCTAAATCCCCAGCCCTTGATGACTATTATTTATTGAGCCCTTACCATGTACTGGCATCCTTAATTATATTGTCTCATTAATCTTCCAACAACCCTTAGTGTAGATTTTGTTTTATTTTTACTTTATTATTGATGGATTGATTGCAGTACTTGGCATTGACCCTATATCCCCATTACTGAGCTATATACCCAGTCCTTTTTATTTTGAGACAAAGTCTCTCTAAGTTGTTAAATTGTTCAGGCTAGGCTTGAATTTGTGATCTTCCTGCCTCAGCTTCTCAGAGTATTGGGACTACAGGTGTGCATCACTGTGCCCAGCTGGTATAGATTTTATTTTGCCCATTTTCCAAGAGAAGGAACTGAAACGAGGTCATATTGTCAATAAATGGCAAAGCCAGGGCTGAATTGAAGTACACCTGACTCAGAAGGTTGAGTTCTCAGATGATTTTGCCATGTTTCCCACAGAGATAAAACAAAGAAGGGTGGTTAATTTGGCCAGAGCAAGTTGGGAAGGTTTTAAGTAGGGGTGGGATTGCTATGACATGATTATACACATAAGTCTGTGAGAGGGTGGGGAGGAGTATTCAGATGTGGAAGGGAGTGGAGACAGAAAGACCAAAGAGAAGGCCATTTCAGATCTGTAAAAAAGAGACGAGGAGAGTCTGAACCAGAACCATGACCATGAGGGCAGAGAATGGGATGGCTTTAAAGGAGATATAGGGAAATTGACAATGTAGAAACTAGCAATGATTGTAATGAAGAATAAAGAGTAGGGTTAACTAGTTCAATTCCCACTTTCCACCTTGGCGACACTTGCAGAAAAGGGCTGAAAATAGATCTAATGTGATCATCTTTTTAGATAATTTCTCTCTTCCTCAAATGTCCTGTAAAAGTGTGCACATAGGCTAAAGAGGCTGATTCTTTTCCTGGTATACTGTGGTTATTTCATTTCTATCACACTGATAGAATTTTTATTATTCAAATGTATTCATTATGTTTAATAGGGCAGGTTAAGAGTACTAATCTTTTTTTTGGTACCGAGGATCGAACTCGGGTCCTTGTGCTTGCAAGCCAGGCAGCAGAATCACTGAGCTAAATCCCCGGCCCAAGAGTAATAATCTTGTGCTCTAAAATTTTTTCCTCTTATCTAAAATTATTAATTTTCAAAAACAATATAATTACAACAAAAGAAGAATGTAATAATGTATGAGAGAGCACATAAGATTCTAAGTTTTTGGCAAAAGTGGGGAATTTCTGCAAGAGGAAAGGGATGAAAGAGAAAAACAGAGGGTGTGGTAGGGGATTCCAACCCCTTGAGTCTGACCTGAGGATTTCCAAATAGCGGAGCTCTCAACTAAGAAAGGGAATCTGAAATAAAGGACTATTTGCTCTGCAGCTTCCAAGGAGCCAAATTTTCAATTTAACATAAATTAATAACAAGAACTTGAGCCTGGATGACCCAGACAGGACATGGGAGGCCTGTAAGTTCCAGGATGTCTCTGATTTTAAAGACAGGGCAGTCTGTAAGCGCTACCCCAGTATTTTGAAATTAAACCAGCCTCCAGAGTGTGGGATCTTTTTACTGCCCATTTTCCCTTGCTTCAGCTCCATATGGAACTACTTAGTAAAAGATATTCCACTGCTAGACGAAAAAATGTACAAGCAGAGACTTATGCTGAGTCTAAAAAAAAAATGTCCAGGAACAATTGAGGCTGAGTGGGCAGGGATTTTATAAGACAATTGGACAGGGAGGGCCCGGGAGGGAGGAGCCTAAGACTTACTCTGACCTAGGTCCAATCAATACTCTGTTTTCTCCTCAGTAAAACAAAACAAAACAAAAAACTGGTCTCCTCTAGAAGTTCTCCATGAGTTCTTTCGGCATTTGCACTCTATTATTTCTTCTCACCACCTTCTCTACGACTAAATAAATAGATCTCTTGGTAGCTTAACAGACAGAGCCTTAACAGAGGAAACTGAGGCACACAGGGAAAGAGGTAAGGCACAAAGGTTAATTCTTGTCCCAAGTCACCTATCAAACCAAAAAACACTGTCTATATCCCTCTTCTCTTTGCACCCTACTTTGTATTCTGAGGTTGATTTGTTTAGGCCAATAGGTTGATCTCTACTGCAGTATATCAACTCAATCCACTGTTCAATGATGCTTTTTTTCCGTCACATAAAGAAAAGAGAAAAAGAAAATCTGTTAACTGATATCTGAGACTACTTTGGAATCCAAAAGTTGGCTCTATGCCCAGCCTCTGAGCAAATAGCTGGTTTCCAGAGACTGAGTTATGAGATGCTGAATTTAAACCTCAAGGTTTCTTAAATGGCTTTTTGCTTTAACAAACACTGCTGAGAGTGGAAAATTAGACTGTCTCCTTCAAGAGTCTGCACATAAAATTTACAACACAATCTCTGCCTGGGTAGGTTATCCAACCATGATACATGAACTATTTCAACTCAGAATTTTTCTGTTAGTCCTTCTGAGACATTCTGAATGCTTAATTCTTAGCCCAGAAATAATTGCTGTAATTCTACTCTTTCACTGTTGGAGTTTTGTTGTTATTATTACTATTGTTTTGTGGTGCTGAGATTGAACTCAGGGCTCTGGACACATTAGGCAAGAGTTTTATTACTAAGCTACATCCCCAGATATCTGTAGTTGTTAAATTTCAACAATAGCAACTACAACAAAAAAGATAAAGGTTAACTATATATGTATGATGATTATATATGCTATACTAGTATATAATGATAGATACTATAATATAATTTTGTTATTCATTAACTTAGAGTAGGAAATAGCTTTGACACCTAAAAACATTTCATTTCCCCATTTAGAAATTCAAAGAATATAAACTAAGGACCTTAGAAATAACATCTTAAATTATACAACCAAGATCACCAGACTGGGAGTACAGAAAAATGAGCAGGAATGGTCAAAATTCTTGTTTTAAAAAGCAACCATTTCACTGACTTTTAGAGCTTGACTAGAAAACAGAATTAAAGTCTCCAAAATATCAAACTAAACTTTGAAAAACTGAATGTTCATAAGCCATCTGAGAAAAAGTTAGACTTTTTCTAATTCTTTAAAATTTGGGCTCTTAGAGTCCAGTGTTTACAGCCAACAGTGGTGACTTGTTTCAACAGCCAGTCTTAAACAATAATCATAAAGAACTAACATTTAAGCTGGATGCATTGGTGCATACCTGTAATCTCAGCTACTTGGGAGGCTGATGTAGAAGATACTGTCTGAAACCAGCCTGAGCAACTTAGCCAGACCTTGGAAGGAAGGGAGGGAGAGAAAGAGAAAGGGAGAGAGGAAGGGAAGGAAGAAGAGAGGGAGAGAGGGAGGCAGGGGGAAAAAGGGAGAAAGGGAGAGTGGGAAGGAGGGAGAGGAGTAACATTTGTTGGGGAATTATTACATGCTAACCACAATGTTAAATACCCTTACATGGTACGCAATTTTTCCAACAACCTTATGGGAGTAATAAGCATTGTTTTTATCATCATTGTATAGATTAAGAAACTAAAGTTTAAAGAGGTAGAGAAACTTGCCTAAAGTCAAGGATTCAAACAGAAGTCTGTTGAACTGAATCCAGACCCCGAACCACCACATATTCTGACTTTGATACAATCTCATGTACTTAGGGGGCTCAGGCCATGTCCTGCTGTATTAGATAAAGCAAGCTGGAAGGGTATCACAACATGATGGAAAGAACACTGGAAAAATAATCAAAAGCACTATGTCCTATTCCTAGATTTGCTATCTTCAGATTTATAATCTTGGATATGCTCCTGGACTTTAGTTTTTTGGAGGTTTTTTTTTTGCAGTACCAGGGATTGAACTCAGGACCTTGAGCTTGCAAGGCAGGCGGAGTGCCCCTGAGCTAAATCCCCGGCCCTAGACTTAAGTTTTTTTATATTTCAAACAACTTCCCATTTGTTAGTACAATTCTATTTCAAAGTATTGTGTGTGAGATCAAATGGATGAGGTTTGTGCATAATCATCAACCATGACAAAGCTGTAACAAAAAGATATCTCACACATACCTCCACACACAGTCTCACACACCCCTTCCCATGTCACCCCAGAATCAGTATTACTGTCCAAACATTTACTTGAAGTTTTTTTTTAACAGCACCTTCTGTTGTCTCCACTCAGTGAGAGGGTCACATGGAATAAGTAAAATTTTTATACATTCAATACTATCATGGTCACAACCACTGCTTCTTACAGTGTTGTGGGCTTCTCAGTGTCCCAAGAGGAGAAGACACAACACAGTTACACCTATGGTATCATATATAATTGTTCATCTCTCACTGTTTGACACTGATGGATTCTATACCAACTCCAGAGTTCCAAGCCTTACAATAGTACTAGTTTGTTGATTGTACAGCAAAACAATATAGCTGAGCATTTGCTCATGCATACTACTCTCAGTAACTTGCAGCAGCAAGTGTGGCTTTTCAGTGTTTTCTTTGTGTCAATTACTGTCACATACCTGTAACATCTCAGTTACCACTTCTTTAGTATTTACAAAACCTTCACATGTGTAAAGAGAAGCAAGAGCTGAAAACAGTGGAGGTAAAGTAACATCTCTGATTGATAATCACGATGCTACAAACTCAAACTCCTTGAGGGCAGAGTTGGATCTTTACCAATTCATCCCCAGTTCCTGGAATGGGGCCTGGCTCACAGTGAGGACCCAAACACATGTGCTGAGTGAGTGAATTAATGAAGAATTATTCTTATCATGACCTGCACAACTACTCGGCATCTTTCGCATGCATAGTATATCCATAGCTTCACACCCAGCCAGTCCCTGAGGATGACTCTTCATAGCAAACGACAGTTTGCTGGGTCACAATGCCCGCTCAAAAGGCCAATGCATCTGCAGCTCTAGCACACCTTATTCTCACAACCTCACTCTCTGTCACTGCACCCGTCTGCTGGGTCTGTTAGTGTGACACAGAGCCAGAAGACTCACACAGCCCCACACAGCACTTGGGAGGTTCTATTGGGCCCTAGATTCACCCCGCCACACTTTTCCACACCTGTATCAACTTGACTGTGTGAGGCTAGATCTGAAGTGCTAGTGTGTCAGAGAGGGAGAGGGGGCTGAGATCCCACCCAGTGTGACACAGAGCTCCCCATTGCCCCATGCCACGGTGTCACAGGGTTCCCCCTACAGAGAAGGTGTTTCTGGAAATCACGTTGGACCTCAGAGCCACGTCCCCCTACCTCCCTGCTCAGCCCCGCCCCACCCTCACCTGGTCAGGTCTCGCAGCCGCGCCTCCTCCCCAAGCAGGTAGCTCCGCAGCAATGCCAGCAGCCGGCGCTCGGGCGCCAGGGCGCGCGCCACGCTGGTCAGCGCCGAGAACTTATCTTCCCTTGCCGCAGCCCTGGCCTGGTCCCCGACCCAGAGAGCCAGCACCGCCAGCAGCGCGCCCAGTCGCGCGGCGCAGAGCATCGCCGGCGATTCCCAGTTCCCTCAGACGTCTCCCCCGCCCAGCCATCCCTTGCGCCGCGTGCGCCGCCCGCCCCGCCCCAACCCCGCCCCCGCCGGCCACACCCTATTAGCGCAGACTCCTCTGCCTCTCTACCTTTCCCTTGCTGCTCCTAGGTTCTTCAGGGTGCTCCTTGGTGTTCGCCTGCCCTCCCTTAAATCGAAGCATGGAAGGTGTTTCCGTTGGGCAAGTCACACTCGGGGAAATTGAGGCAGGAGGAAGGTGGAGGCTGTGTAACACCATCTGCACTCCCCCGGGTCGGGAGTGGAAATAGACACCACTGGATTCTGATGTGGAAATCTCGAGAGTGAATTCTGAGGTGCGGTGATAGTGGTGAGGGTGAAGCAATGAGAAAGCAGAGAGGAGACAGTCGCTTCGCAGAGGTTGTGACCTCTGAGCAATCTTGAAGGATGAGCACCAGGACTTACAGAATTTAAAATGCTGGGGACTTGGGTCACTGCTCTGCATAGTAGGCCTATAGTCACTGAACCAAACAAAATGCTATATCTTAATAGGCTATGTATTCATTTCGCCCCTTTTATTCATTTTCTAGGCAATGTTCTTTTTATTTTCATACAACAAATGTTAGCATCTATATTACCATGCTGTGGAGACAAAGATGTAGCAGATCTAACCCTGAGCTCACAAGGGAAGATAGAAATGTAAACAAATAACCACACACACACACACACACACACGCACAGTGCTATCAGTAACAGAGGGCTGTGCAATGTGCAGTGGCAACACAGAGGAGGCTTCACAGAAGAGGATGTGTATTGGTCCAACAGGATGAAAAAGAATTGTCTGAAAGATGACAAGCCAAGGGGATACTGATGTGTACCAAGGTGTGGAGGTGGAAAACAGTTTGAATTCCAAGAATAATGAAAAGTTCCTTGTGTTTGGGATCTCAGGTTGTGACAGTCACGTAAGAAATGTAGCCATCTGTCCTCTATGAAAAGCCAATGAAATTTAAAAAGTGACAATAATAGTAATAAGAACAGCAATTGCCAAAATAATAAATGCTACTGAGTGCTTCCTGTGTGGTAGACGATGTCTCAAGCATTTTTACATATATTAACTTAGCCCATGGCATAACTATTAGCCCTGTTCTACAATTAGAAGATTAAGAAGCAGAAAAGATAAATAACTGACCCAGTGTTAATTGCTTGTGAACAACATTCAGAGGTGCCTTGGTTAACCAGATCTATAGAAAAAAAAGTCCTGATTTGTGGCATTAGCCAATTTCTGTAGTACAAATTCTCCCACAGTGGCCAATTTTGACATATCTAGATATTACCACAGAATATGGTTGGGTAGAGATGCTAACAGTCAGTTCTTGTGAGGCAGCTCCAGTTCACTAGTGCTTGTGGTAGACCTGGAAACATTCCCCTTTAGAACCTGCCTTCAAGAAAGGACTTACTTGGGATGTGGATTTAGCTCAGTGGTTCCAGCGCCTGCCTCGAAAGTGCAAGGTCCCAAGTTCGATCCCTGGTACCAAAAAAAAAAAAAAAAAAGAAAGGACTTACTGCACAGCTGCAGAGAATGTGGTCAGAGGAATCTCCAGCTCCATCAGGGTCTGTCCTGCAGCCGGGAGCAGCCTCACTTAAGGTCATTTCCTTATTTGGGGAGCAGAGTGAAGTGAATGCCCAATGTGAGACAACTCCAACATGCAATACCACGAACTCCAGCACTCTTCCAACCTTGCTCAGAGATTTGTCAGGCCTCATTGATCTCTTCCTTTGCCCTTTCCTGCTTCCTCTCCCTTTCACAGATGTTGATCCCTACTAAACATCTTATAACTCAAATTTGATCTCAGCATCCAATCTGTAACAACTACTCAATCAATGTGCTTGGCTAGTATGTAGTAGAGCAGGGAGCTAAATCTAGGCAGCACAGGTCTAGATTCCATATTCTGAATCATTACCAGTGGTAGACTTAGAATGAAATTTTTGAAATCTAAACTTACATAAACCCTTTCCAAGGCCCTTGGGATGAGTGGAAAGGGGAGCTTGGCAGGGTGTTCTTGTTATATGTGTTTGTAAAATTTTCAAAAGAAAGCTATTTTAACCACAGTTGGTTAAATTGTCTCTTCACTCTGACTTCTTCTTTGTCACACTTTCCCTTATAACACTTCCCTTTAGGGTAGGAATACTGGAATAGCCAGGGGCTTGTATTTGCAAATGAGTAGCCTGCACATGGAACAATGGTGGCAAACCTATGTCATGTGTGTTGTTGTGTTTTTCTTTTAAGACAAAAGTTGTGGTGTTGGCACTTTGCAATAAATAAGTGGGTTTTGGGTTGCAGTTTGGGCACTAGTCTCTAAAGTTTTGCCATCACTGACATGATTAGAGATTGTGTTAGGGAGAATAATGCTCCCCAAAGACATCCATACTCTAATTCCCAAAACCTATGACTATGTTACCTTTACAAATGTGATTGGGTTAAGCATTTTGACATTAGGAGATTGTCCTGTATTATCTTGGTGGGTTCAGTGAAAATCTAAGGGTCCTTAAGAGAGTCAGAGAATGAGATAGGACAATGGAAACAAAGTTAGAGATTTAAACACACTATGTGGCTGACTTTGAATATAGAAGAAGGGTCTGTGTGTTGTGGGCAGCTTTTAGGAGCTAGGAAAGACCTGGAAACAGACAGACATCCCTGGAATGTCCAGAAAGAACAGAGACCTACTGATACTTGATTTTAGTCCAGTGAAACTGATTTCATATTTCTGAATTCCAGGATAGTAAGGCAATACATTTGTGTTTTTTAAAGCCACAACATTTGTGGTAACTTTTTAAGCAATATTAGGAAACTGACACAGGAATCCAAATGTATTTATTTGTTTTGTATTATCTCTGTCACTTTTAACCCAACCAGGTAGAGTGCTTGTACTAATAAAATTATCTTAAAATCTTTGAGGATTTCCTGTGAATCTGTTTGGGGCTCATTTCATTAAGCAAAATTCACATACAAATTTCTTTCCATGCAGGCCCTTCTATAACTTGGGCTGAGAGTCAGAATGCTGATATAACAACCCTAAGATGTTTAGAAGCATTTTTTCCTTGGTGAAATGTGAGGTGCTCTTTAAATGTGTTACAGACCCTCTTGTATAACAACAGTCGAAGTACATACTCTCAAGATTCTTAGATCAGTTTTTGGCATATCTTTAAATTTTTCTGTAGATTTAACAGGACTTTTCAGCCATACCCTTAAGAGCTTTACCTTGAAGCTATGTTTTACTGGTAATACTTGGGTCATTTCTTTATTTGAGAAATTTTTGATGGTCAGAAAGATTGTCCTGAATTTCCACTAAATTCTTCTTATAATTTATCTCTCTTTTTGTACTTTATTACAGGCTACTAGAAGAATCCAGCTGGTGTTTTCACCAGTCAGCCTGGATATCTTTTTATCCAGATTCACAATATCATTAGAATACCTCCAGCTAGCCTCATGTTATGCCCTGTATCTAGATGTCCCCTCAAAGCCTCATGTGGTCCACTTTAGAAAAACATGTACATGTCTTAAGAATTGTTTAATGAGCACATTCTTTCAACACTACACATGAATGGATCCAATTTTATATCCCTTGAAGTGCTGTACCGGTGCTGGCTGGACATATTAAGTCTGAGTTTATTAACTAGATATTTATTTAGCATTCAGAGTGATTTGTGAACTTGTTTTGTATTTATAAAATTTATACTTGGAAAATGTTAATTTTTTAAACGTTTTACTGTTTTTTGTTTTATTTCTCTAATTTCAATGTTCAAAAATTTCACCCTCCCTTTCCCCTGACAGTCCTTTCAGTTTTAGAACTTTCAGTTTTCAGTTTACAGAACTGTTTTACAAGTTTCTATGTACAACTTTTTAAGTGTACAAATAAAATAACATTTTTTTCAAGTAGGAAAAAAAAGCCTCATGTGCTCATAGGTGGAGCTTTTTAGAGGTGACTGGATTTAGGCTGTGTGAATATGGAATAAGGGTGTGTGATAACTAAATTAGTCCACTGATTTATTTAGCATACTTCTGGTTGTAGATAATGCAAAAGGCCAACCTGGGTATGGGTGGCACCAATCAATAGGCTTGCAGCCCAAATGGAATAAAAGGGAAAAGGAGGCTCAGTGCTGCTGTTTCCTGCCTACTTGCTATGGACTGTTTCTCCTCTTCTATGGCCCTCTGCCATGCCACCCTGCCTTGGAGCCAGTTGACTGTGGACCTGCCAGGTTTGGGCCAGCAATCCTTGTTAGAAATACCAAAGAGGATTCAAAAGACAGAGAATATCTTTGTGGAGGGTCAGGGAACCCCATTAAAATGGAGCCCCACCCAAAGTGACTCAAACTCCCAGATTTATTGAGGAACAACAGAGGCACAGTGTTCTGATGAGTGGAGATGTTTGTTTTAGGTAGCAAAGCAGGCAAGCAAGGCATGGTGACAGTAGGGCTGAATAACTTTTATCTGATTGTCCCCTAGGGAGCTTCCTTGTTTTCCCTGTAAGGTCTGTCTCTGCTTGAGCTGGCAAAACATCCCATCTTCAAGATGTTCCAACTCGTTGGAGTTAGCAATCTTCTGCCCCCGAGTCAACCCAAGCAGACATTTACCCATTGGGTGTTGCAAGGAACATCACATGGACTAAAACCTCTACAAACTGTGAGATAAGATAAACCCTTCCTTCTTTAACTTGTGGGTATTGGGTATTTTGTCCTAGCAACAAGGAAGTAACTAAGACACCTCATCAACAGTCTCTTAGAGGGCCTTCTACATTTCACTAATGGTCTTCAAGCCTTTGGCTGCCACTTAGATGTGAAGTTAATAATACATATTTTAAGTTTAACCATCAAAATTAGGAAATTAAATGTTGATAAAATATTGACTTTTAGTCCACAGACATTATTCAAATATTATTGATTGTACTAGTTATATGCTTTATGAAGCTAGGGTTTAGTTGTACTTAGTTGTTAATTTCTTTGGTGTTCTTCAATTTGGCACAATTCCTTAGTCTTTA